TATCGGAGTAGGTCTAGGCAAATACGTCATTGTGCTCAATCAGGAGAGTGGTGAGGTCGGCCTTGGCCTGGGAGGATAGTTGGCTGCCGATCTTGGCAGTTTTTGCTGGGTTGGTAGGATCGATGAGGACCTCGACGAGCTCTTCCACTGGTTCTCCTCTGACCAACTCGTCCTCGTCTCTGACGTCGAGTCCTTCAATGATCATAGCCTCCTTAAGCTTGACTTCTTTAAGTGAGGTGACATAACACTCTCTAGCCACGGTCTACTCTCCCCTCATTGTGCCGACTCCAAGATCGGTGGGGAACTTGATGGCAAGATGGAAAGTGGATGTGATAACTTGGAAGGCATTTAGGGCGGTGCGACCAAGGATGATATTGTAGGCAGAGGGGCAGTTGACAACAAGAAAGATGAGTAACTTTGTGGTCAGTCGCGGGTATTCACCAATTGTGATGGGAAGATCGATGGAGCCGATGGAGGTCACCCGATCACCAGTAAAACTGGCCAATGGGGTTTGGAGAGGGGAAAGACTTTCTTTCCCGATCTTGAGCTGGCGGAAGCAATTTAAGAAAATGATGTCGGAAGAATTGCCGTTGTCGACGAGAACCCATCTGACCTTGTAGTTGAAGAGGAGGGTAGAAATGACGAGAGGGTCGTCATGAGGGTATCGGATGCCTGTGCAGTCGGCGTCCGTAAAGGTGATAGGCTCCGTCCACTGCTTGGGCTATTTGGAGGGTCGGTCCAATGTGACAACTTATTTGTCTGAGCCTTGCCTTATTTTCTTGAGTTCTGCCTGCTGGGCCGAGCGGGATGGTCCTCCACAAGCAAGTCCGCCAACAATGACTTTGATTTCTCCAACTGGTGGGGTGGGGTTACCTTGTGCCCGGGGTTGCTGTGGGAGGCGATCATGACCTTGGTTAGGTTGGGCTGGTTGCGGGGGAGGAGTGCGCCGGCGGTTATTTCTGATGGGTTCAGTCCTTTGTCTCTGCTGAGGGCGAGTTTTCGTGAATCGACTGAGGCGTCCCTGACGTATCAAGCCTTCGACCTGATCTTTGAGGTTAACACACTCCTCGGTATTATGGTCGTGGTCTTGGTGGAAACGGCAGTACTTGGACTGGTCTCGTCGATCGAAAGGAGACCGTGATGGCTGGGGCCATTTTAGGGGGTAGTCTCGTTGAATCTGATTGAGGACTTGTTCCATGGGGGAATTGAGGGGTGTGTACCGTTCGAACCGGCCGGACGGTCGAGTTGGTGCCGACCGGTCGGCTCGGGGGGGTCAGTTTATATACTGAGGTGTTGGGTTATTGTATGGGTGTTTCTAATTTCCGAGTCCTTTCTCTTCTCTCTAGGGGTGGGGTGTTTGGCTATAGGGTCTTGGCGAGCGGCTAGGGAATCTTCGGCGTTCATATATTTTTGGGCTTTGGAGAGTAGGGTTGCCATGGAGGTCAGGGGGTTTTTAGAGAGGGAGAAAAGGAAGTCAGACAACCGTAGACCGGCCATAAAAGCCGTAAGGATGACCTTGTCATAGTTTTCCGCTACCTGCAAGGCTTCGGTGTTGAAGCGGGTAACGAAACTGCGCAGCGACTCCCCCTCAGTCTGACAGATGTTGAGGAGTTGGGTTGCCGGACGTCGTTGGCGCGGAGCTCCAATGAAATAGCTGAAGAAGGAGTCATTGAGGTGCTGGAAAGTGGAGACAGAGTCTGCTGGCAATTGACTAAACCAAAGTCGAGCGGACCCTTTGAGTGTCACGGGGAAAGCTCGACACATGATTTCATCAGGGAATGTATGAAGGATCATGAGGGATCATGAGGGTTCTGTAGGTCTCCAAGTGGTTGATTGGGTCCGTCGTACCATCAAAAGAGTCGATAATGGGCATTTTAAACTTGGAGGGTAGAGGTTTGTCCCGGATGGAGGCGATAAATGGTGAGTTGGCTGTGGTGGATGGTTTATGCTGTATGTTCTGTATGACTCCTTGGAGCTGGAGCTTCATGGCTCGGAGTTCTGCATCCCAGTAAGGGACGTTGTCACCACCAGAGGGAAACGGGAGCTGGACGCTGCTGGCCTCTCCTTTAGGGGTGGGTGTTTGGGCCGATAGATGTGGGACCCGGGGGGTAGATTCATATCTGGGGGAGGCGGTCGCAAACCTTCCAAGTTGGGCGGATGGGGCTGTTGGACAGTGTGGCTCAGAGCTCGTTCTTGGTTGGGTGGAATATCTGGAGGTGGGGGAGGAGGCATAGGAGGGTTTCTTTGGAGTAGAGCATTAATCAAAGCTTGGTTATGCTCGGCCAGGCGGTTAATGCTGTTGGTGAGCTCGGTAAAGTACTATGGTGGGTTGTTTGGATTGGGAGGGTTGGCTTGGTGGTCGGGAACATTGGGGTAGGAAGCCATAGATCTAGTCGTGACCATCCACCTTCGCAGGTGGTAGGAAAGGGGTTATTGGGGAAGGGCCTCCGGCAACAATGAACACAATTGACGCGCGAAGTAAGAGTTCTCACAGACGGCGCTAACTGATGAAACAGTTCGTTCCAGTAGGAACGGGTCGGACTGATCCACGCCCCTCAAGCCTATGTCCGAATAACCAAGCCCACCAGAAGACCTGCACAAGAGTTCAACGAGGAACGGGGAGTCCTCCAGCGAACCCTCCGACGTGCAAGTTAGAGAGAGAAGTGGAATGTGTAGATGGATTAGAGATAGAAAAACTTAACCTTCTTCTTGTTTTTGACGTCTGCTTATATCCTCTGGTAATCATTTCGTTATCCCTTCCGACCTGTCACCTTGGCCGAAAGTCTATGCTCTAGCTTGCCTTGTTGATGGTGAAGCCGTTCCGTCCCAACGGAGAGGAGTTGTCGCAATAAATGCTGTAAGGGGCTTCATTAATGGCGATGTGCAGTGGTAATAACTTTGCAGATCTTTGTCTGCTTATGTGGCTTGCCCTCCTCCTGACATGTGTCTTGATGTTATTGGTTTTTATTGCTACGTGGGACTTCGGCAGTGTTGGGCCTTAGTATTTGAGTTATATATTGGGCCCTAAATGATAGGCTGTAATCTTTATGGGCTTACCCATATCAAAGGTGAAAAAGATATCTAATAAATTATTTATTAGTTATGAGGATTTGTCTATGATCATTGGCTAATATATGTTGGCAGAATCACAAATTAGTGAAAATAATTAAAAAGAATTTTAAAAATGTAGAGATAGATGCAGTCATATGTTTTATTATAAGAGAAAATTATGATCTTACATACAACAAAACAAATTGTTTTTAAAATTATTTTGAATTGTTTTCATTTATATATTTTCAAAGTTATAATATGATACTAAGGTACTATGCGTCCTCAATTTTAGTTGTATAACTTTGAGATGTTTCCAAAATTTGAAATTTCATGGCTCATTCAATTATAGCCATAACAAACATACATACCATGAGCTATTCACCAAAGCCACAATAACATCACCTTCCATGATATCCCAACAACAATTCTTTCTCCGAAAAGGAACAAAAACAACCATGAGAACTTAGGTGGATATTCAAATCTTAGCACCAAGGAAAAAAAATAAAATAAAAAAAAGTGAAAGCCATGAAGATATATACCACTATAATAAGGGTGCCAATCAATTCCTCTAAAGAAAAAAGGGTGCCAATCAAATTGCAAAGTAAATTTTAAAAGTATTCGTAACATGTTGGTGGAGAAACAGGCTTCTTCCAATAATTTCGACATAATTGCTAACATTTTGTTTTTGGATTAAACAGAAGAGGGGAACCAAAAGTTCAATAGGGTTATTCATATAACACATGAAAGGTCTGTTTGTATCCAATGGAAAAATTTGTCTGTGCAATCCTATTGATGTATTCTAACTTTTTTGGGTGAATTTTATTTTTTTATTTTTGGGTGAATAATGTATTGTAACATACTATCGTTTGCTTAAAAGGGCAAAAAAAATAAAAAATAATAATAATAATTTAGTCAAAACCTTTCCATTAGACCCTTATTTGGTTAAAAATGATAACTCAATTTATTTTGTTTCATAAATCCCCCAAGGAGGAAGTGAGGAAGAGCAGAGTAATTTTTTTTAATATTGCCTGTGCATATATATATATATATATATCTCACAAAACTCTTTTGACGATGAATACTTTTGCTTTATTTTATACAAGTTTAAAAATGTTGTGTATGTATATTTTTGATTGGTTTATCTTGTATGTACTCTTTTTTTTGTAACGGTAAAATGTTATTATGAATTAGAGTAATATGTTACCGTCAAATAGAGTAACATGTTTCTTTTTAGGTCAATTTCGATGGTATTTTTATTTTTTTTAAGAATTTCAGTGTTAACATAGATCTTATTTGATAAATCTTGATGAGAGATTTTAAAAATTTTAATTTTATTAAAAATCGACATGTAGATCAAAGTTATATTATTTTAAAATTTAAAATATTAATTGTACTATGTGTTGGACTTTTCAAGAAATTAAATTTTTATTATGAAGAAGTTTTGATCAAATCCCACAAACAAATAAAAAAAGGCTTAGATTGTAGCTTGCAATACATTTTTAATTTACGGTAGTTTTTTTTATTTATTAATATGTTGGGCTTCATAAAAAATTAAAAAATTCTATCAATACAAGAAAACACCACAAAATAATGTGAAAATATCAATTTTATAATTATAACCATCTGAATGTTTTATTCCAAAGTGAAAAATCCACATTTATGAGTTTCTATTTATATATCATTAATCTAAAAAATTATGGTTTATTACTATTAGAACAGAAAAACTCGGTGCACAAATCGGGGGGGGGGAGTTGCGAGTCCAAGCCCACTAATAATCGTGATGGGCTAACATGTTTTGAAAACATATCTCGGGCCAGGCCTATTATGTTTGGGTCAATTGTAACAAAATACAATCCAATCCAGAACCCGAATAGCCCAACAAATGAGCAAGGCCTTTTAAAAAACCCTAGCGCCATCATTTTTTTGGGATGTGATATAAAATCTTATCTTCGCCGCTTCTCTGTCTTCTTTCATTCGGAGCTTTGAAGAGACGATAGCAATGGTGTCGCTGAAGCTTCAGAAGCGGCTCGCCGCCAGCGTTCTCAAGTGCGGTAGAGGCAAGGTTTGGCTAGATCCTAATGAAGTCAACGAAATCTCCATGGCCAACTCTCGTAAGCTCTCTCTCTCTCTCTCTCTGTGAAAGTTTTTGAAGATAAGTTAACTATTTGATTGATTCGGTTCAATTAACTATCGAAACTTGTTCAGATTCGTTGTTTTATTTCATTTTTGTGAGAGAATCAATGATTTCAATTCGAATTTTAGTTTCTGTCTTCTATTTGTTACTATCTTGAACTTTAATATCAATTCTGTACTCAATTGAATCTACCGATTGATTTGGTGATTTACATGCATACATATATTTATGCTTATGTTTTGTTGACATTTTTTTTTAGATCTACTTATCGAAAACGGTAGGCTTAAATGATTTGTAAATATGTTAAATTTTAATCGCTGGACTTGGAACATCTTGTGATGATGATCTTAGTAATTGCTTTAGTGCTGGATATTGCTATGTTATTTCATTTTTTCAATAAATTGCAAATATGAACTGGTTATGGCGCTATTGGTTAATGGTTACTCCGTTACTTTGTGCTGTATAGTGAACTGATCACACAACACATCTCATCTTAGTTATTTGCATCAGTAGAAAGTGAATAAATTAAGTCAGAAGGTTTGAAATGACACAATTCGATAACTAGTGTTCTGTTTTTCTGTGTTGTAGTCAAATATGATCCCACAATAGCCTTCGTCTTAGTTATTTGCATCAGTAGAAAGTGAATAAATTAGATTGGAAGGTTTGAAATGACACAATTCGATAACTAGTGTTTGTTTTTTTCAATTGTTCGGTTGTTATTTTCAACATATGCCTCTACTTTGCATCAGGTTTTGTTTTTCTCTATTTGTTGTGGCATAGATTTTTCGAGATGATTTTGCAAGTGGAAGAGTAAAAAATTTATATATATCTGGACATGCTGGCTTGATGCTAGTATTTGTAACCTTTTGTGAACTTGAGGCTGTAATACTTATGTTTTAGTTTGGAGCATCATTGGTTCTTTTTGAGCAAACCTCTGTTTATGCATTTTTTTGTAATGAGTGCAGGGCAAAACATAAGGAAGCTGGTCAAGGATGGTTTTGTCATAAGGAAACCAACCAAGATTCATTCTCGATCTCGTGCACGTAGAATGAATGAGGCCAAACGAAAGGGCCGTCATTCTGGATATGGTAATAATGAGATCATATTTAGATTCAAGTAGAGGATATTTTTGGGTCTAGCAAATTACTAACTTTTCTAGTGATTTTGATGGGTAGTGGGTTTGGGTACATATAGAAACTGAATGTCAAGAGTGTTTTCTTTAACAAGCCAATTAGATGGAATTTGAAAAGAAGCTATCTATTAATATTATGCTAAACTAAACAAAGAGGAAACTTAAAAATGGCCATGGTAGAATGGGATACCATGATTAACAGTTTTGTTCAAGGGCAAGAGGAACTTGCCTGGTTTTGATGATGTTGGTATTTTGCTTGGTTTCAGGTAAACGTAGGGGTACAAGGGAAGCAAGGTTGCCCACAAAAATACTGTGGATGAGGAGAATGCGTGTGCTCAGGCGCTTGCTCCGCAAGTACAGGGAATCAAAGAAGATTGACAAGCACATGTATCATGACATGTACATGAAGGTGAAGGGTAATGTTTTTAAGAACAAGAGAGTTCTAATGGAGAGCATCCACAAGTCCAAGGCTGAGAAAGCCAGAGAGAAGACCTTGTCTGATCAATTTGAGGCTAAGCGTGCAAAGAATAAGGCAAGCAGGGAAAGAAAGTTTGCTAGGAGAGAGGAACGCTTAGCCCAGGTAAGATGCATTAACAGATGGTGAATTATTTTCTTCAATTTTTTGCTCCCTTTGAATTATAATTTATACAATTGTTTCGTTTTCAACTTATTTTCAGTGCCATATTTTTGCCATCTATTTATCAGTAAACACATTTGGTTTGTTGTTTGTTAGTGGGTTGGGTTTCATGCTGGTACTTTTTCTGTATATATGTCTCTCTGAAATGCTATTTTTTGATAGAATTTGACAAATTGATAAATATAGATATTCACATTACGATTTTGGATTTTGTTAGTGAAATCTCCGAATAATGCAATGTAGATGGTATGTTACTTCATATTTGAATAATTTCTCTTGCATGTGGTGTCCAAATGCTCCATCATATACATGATTAGAAGACACAAAAGCTTCTCACTTGATTTACCCAACCCTCAAAGATTGTTCTGTTTGTAGTATCTTGTGCCAAATTGATTATGTTTTATACTTTGCACAGGGTCCAGTAGAGAGAGCACCACCACCTCCAGCAGCAGCATCTGCACCTACAGCTCAAACCACACAGTAAGTATTTGGAGGTTATGTTGCTAATGTATCAGGTGGGTTGGATCATAATTTGACAAGTGTTTCATTTGCCTACAGGGGATCTAAGAAATCCAAGAAGTGAGATGTGCAAGAATCTGGGTATTGAGGATCGATGACCTTGGATCTTCTGTGTTCTCTCATTGCTATGATTTTTTTGACCCATAAATTGAACCAAGTGGACTACTTGTTTGAAGCTTCCATTATCTTTTTCTCAATGACCGGATCCCGCACTGAGTTGTCTTCCGCCTAGTGCATTTAGGGCCTTCTTCTTCCTAAAGATTCTTTCATCTTAATATGTTTTTCTTTACGTTTTATGCTTATTTTGTGTGGCAGCGTGTAGTGCATATCTAGAAGAATGCTTAAAATCTGGATACTTGTAGTTTGTTCCCCCAATGTTAGGGTTAATTTCTTTCTTTTATTGATTTGTGCTATTTATGCTTTTTATCCTGTGTTGTTTCATATGAAAGGCGTGTTTGGAAACTGGATGCAATGGCAATGTAATGCGGTTAGTCAGGCATCATGCTTGCATCAATGGTTGGATGGTTAAGTGATATAACTGTGTCCTGAGTCATTGTTTAGTATTGTGATTATGGTGAAACGAGTCTTGAAAATTGGTATTAAAAAAAAAGGTTGGAAGTATGTTGATTTGATGATTTTAGTTGTGTTGAAATTAAGAAAAAGGCGTCTTGGTTTTTTTTTTTCTTTTTTTAATTTTTTTTATGCCTAAGTGCTGCATGTTAGCGAAATCTTTACTAAAATGAAAAGGTTTTTCATGTCAATTTTAGTATTTACATTAATTAATGGTTGGTAGGCTCTGATGGTAAGATTATGAATATAGCAATTTTATATGGCAGCAAAAAATTCGATAATGTTCTCGGCGTCAAATTTGGGATGTTGTTAATGATGGCAATTTTGCTCTGCTCTGAATTTGCATCTCCCAGAAGGGATGGGATTTTGCTTTCCCCAGTCTGTTTTCTCCATCTCAATTGCATTAATTAAATATAAATATTTTTTGTACATATATATAATATAATTTCTTAAATATAATAAAAATAAATACGTTCTCAAAACATATATATTATAAAAATAAATTTTCAAAACATTCATATAGTCCATTTTATTACTAATAGATTTTATTTTTTATATTTCTGGTTATTATTCTTTTCTTTTTTTTTCGATTCATTGGTTATTATTCATTCAACTCTCTCTCATTGGTACCATCTTGAATTGAACATAACAAATTAACACAATATTTCCCCACTGATTTCTCCGTTGGAAAAAATATTTAAAAAGTCTACAATTATAATGTATTTAAATTGATTTCTCTTAAAAACTACATTTGTTTCCATCAATAATTTGGTAATTATTTGAATGAAAAAATAATATTGTTATCGTTTTTAGACTGAAAATATTTGCTTTCTTTTTTTTTAAATCTTTATATTTTGGACAAATTATTCACAAGTTTTTTTTGAAAATTGTGTGTTTTATTTGATTCCAAAACCTTTTAGATAGAGCTAAAAGTCTTGTGTCCATTTATCTTCCCCTCTTTCTCTGTACCTTACTTCTTCTCTTTATCTCACTTTTTCTGATATCCAGTGACAACCACGACTACGCTTGTTTTTCTTTTTTCTTTTTTTTTTTTCTTTTCGTTATCTTTCTAATCTATAGTCACCGATGACCAACGATCACCATTGATTGGGGTCTACCGACAACCACCGAGCACTAATTCCTTACTTTGCGTTCATCAACAGCGAAAGAGATGAGTTTCCAATGAGGAAGATGAGCAGATCTACTCAAATATGATATAGATCCACTCAAATTTGAGATCTACATCAGATCTGAAAAGATTTACATTAGATCCAGCTAAATCTAAACCAAAAAGAGTTACCAGAGTACAAGCATCTTCTTCTCTTTATCTCACTTTTTCTAATATCCAGTGACAACCACAACTACGCTTGTTTTTCTTTTTTCTTTTCGTTATCTTTCTAATCTATAGTCACCGATGACCAACGATCACCATTGATTGGGGTCTACCGACAACCACCGAGCACGAATTCCTTACTTTGCGTTCATCAACAGCGAAAGAGATGAGTTTCCAATGAGGAAGATGAGCAGATCTACTCAAATCTGATATAGATCCACTCAAATTTGAGATCTACATCAGATCTGAAAAGATTTACATTAGATCCAGCTAAATCTAAACCAAAAAGAGTTACCAGAGTACAAGCATCTCTATATCTATCTCTTTCCTTTGATCTCTTAATTTTATTTATTTATTTATTTTTTATACTATACACTTCTATTTTCTTGTTTTAATTGAGAAATTTTTCAAATTCTGAGTAAGTTGTTTTGGAGTTTTAGTTACAACGGTGAAAACTATAAAATTTTGTAGTTTCAGTTTCTTTAGTGCCAAAATGAATCATTCTTTAGAACTGTAAAATTTTACAGTTTCATAACTTTTTTTAAAATTCTAAAATTTTGCAGTCTCATAACATGTTAAATTTGATTAATAATGATAAATGATTAGTAGAATCATATTTTGAAACTGTAACATTTTACAGTTTCAAAACTAACTTTTCAGTTTGATCTATATTGAAAATTATTTTCTTAAATCCTACAAAAATTAAGAATACCATTTTTTTTCCCCGATTATTGTTGTTTGTTGTTACATTTTTTTCTTCTTTTAGTTTATTAGTATTTAACACATTTTGCTATATTTTTTAGCTATAATTTCTCAAATTTTTTTTAGACAATATTCTAGGCATTCCAGTTAATCTCCGACAATATTCTTGACGTCCAGTAGACATTCTAAACATTCTGGTGGCTTCCGATGACATTCAGAACACTCCGAAGATATTCCGAGAAATTCCTAATGATACGCCGGCGACTTTCCGGTAATGTTCAACTTTCCGACAAGTCTGTAGTGACCGTTTGACAAAATTTTGGTGGTGGTGAGATGTAGCAGCATCTTTAAATTTTAAAAAAAAAAAAATTAGTAACAATTAAAAATATGTAAGATTAATTGGTGCAAGTATTTTATTTTGAAACTAAATAGATTTTGAATTTTATGCATAAGACCTATTAGTAAGTTCCCCTTATTTTTTACACATTTTGTATTAATTTCAATTTCTTCGTATTAAAAGGAAGTCTGTGTAATTATCTATATTTTTTCTGCGTAATTTACTCTAAAAAATTGAATCAAGCGAAGCTGAGTCAACTCAGCAAACCAGGAGATGGAGCAGTTCATTTGACTTGGTTTCAGATCACTTTTACACCCAATTTGTAAACCCATGGCCCAAGCCGAACCAAACCCAGCCTATCAATACGATCTACATCATTAAATTTGTTGGAAATGGTTATAAAATTCTGAATAAAATTAGAATTTTTTCTTAAATTCAGTCTATTTTTTAGGTGGGCCCCGTGCGTCGATTTTCACGAGTCAAAGTAGTAACGCGTTCTATGCCGCGTTGTGATTCACGTGGTATATTTGGTTGCTCAAAATCATTACCGAGTGAATGGGAAATTGAAGCCAAAGTGCACTCCATGAAAATGGAGTTTTGATGGAAATTCCTTAAGGTTGTAAAATGGCTTGTCCCACATTGATTTGGTGGGAGGTTTTGAATGGGTTTATGAGGCTTGAGTTTGGTACTTGGGGTGTGCCCCAAGGGGTACCCAAGTGTTTTAGAGGGAGAGGTTATGGACAAAATGGACTAGACCCATTGGATCCAAAAATCACCACACAACCCAATACTAATCTTTTTGGGCTAAAACATTTGAATTTAATAACAGGGCCTTTCCCGTTTTGTTATTTGTTTGAAATATAACCCAACAGATTCAAATCTGTTTGAATTCAAAACCAACAGGTTTCATACCTGTTCAATTCAAAACCAAGAGCCACCTTTACATCTATAAATAGGACCACCCTCATTTGATGTTAATTCCTATGCATGTCAAATTTCCGCACCAGATGTTTGTGCTTTACGCTCGAGCTCTCTATTCTACGCTCGAGCAGGTCATGCGTATATGAAGAGTGTAAACACTTAGTGTGTTCGTAAGGCAAACAATTTGTAGTACTACTTTTGTTTGTAGTAGATCATTTCATTCTGGGAGATAGACGTCCAATTTTTGAAAGCACCGTGGAGAAGACGAATCTGTCTTAAGGACACAGTGTCAAACACTGGACTTGATCAGATTATAATTCGAAAAAATTAAATCAAGTAAGTTATTTAATTTATTTTCAGTGTTTTATTATTTATTTAAATCAGATTTTAATTTTGTTTTTGTAACAAAATAAAATTTGTTTTTATTTATTTATTTTTATTTTTATTTCGAGTTTGATTTTTGTAATCAAACAAATTCTCTCATTTCCTTTATTTCTTTTTATTCTGATTATTGTTTAGTACACAACAGAATTTAATTAATTTAAATACAGTAAAGATTGTCCTACAAAATTTACCAACAAAAAAACATATGCCGCCAGCCAACCCCATCCGCTTGTATTGTAGCGTCACCACCATGGTTGATGGAGGTTACAAATAAATCAAACTGTTCGTGAAATGACTCGGCTTGACTTGTTAAAAGTTCAGCTCAACTCAGTTAACAAACGAGCCGAGCTTGAGTTTGAGCTCAAACTCAAATAAGTTCAGCACGGTTACTTTTATTTAAATTATATAATAAATATATTATTTATATATTAAATAATATATAAATATATAAATAATAGCATAAATATATTATTTATGTATTAGATAATATAAATAATAATAAAAAATCTTATCGAGCAGAACTCGAGCTTAGCAAAGCTCGACTCAGCTCGACTTGGCTCATTTACAATCTTATAGTTGAGGTTAAACAGTTTTTCTGTAATGATAATGAGAGGCAATTTGAAAAGAAATTAAAAAATTATTTACATTCATGTAAGAGCAACACAAGCACAATTGAAATTGTCGCCATTTATTCATAACTTATATAATACTGTTGTGTAACTCGAATTTGAGCTTAGACCAAATAGCTCGAAATTCATCTTGCTGATTGTCCGGCAAGAAGGCTGACAGCCGCGGTCAATAAGGTGACAATTGCGATAGACAAGTATTTCACCCGGTCATCCGAATGATCTTCTGGCAAGTCATCTGACCAATTGTCCAGTAAATACCAATCTGAACCATTCGAATCCCTCACTTTTCAAGCTACTAGCATTTTTCTAACTCATAAATGTCTTCATAGATAGTACAACATAGTTAGGTAAAAAGAAACATTGCCTTCCCCCTATTAGGGTAGCTCAGTTTTAAAACCTCATGAAATTATCATTGAAATACATCATTACTGCTTTTCACAACCACCACCTTCTTTGTTAAAGCCTTGAGTAAATATCATTGTGTAGGAGAGGGTTCAAGAAAGGAGTTGGAAAATTCGAAGATCTTCAAAGATCCTTGAAGAGCAACTTCGAATTCTCTAGAAGAAATGTGAGAGGCTTAGATTCT